CATCTTTCTATCACTATTGATTAGTTCTCCTGCTTTAGAAGTTCATATAAATGGAATATACAACCATATACTCTTTTGTTTTTAAAAAATATATCTATCTCCTTAGTAATTTTTTTATTTATTTACTGAATTGTTTTTCTGTTTTCTTTGAGTTGGTTTTCCATTTTCCCTTGGATTTCCTTGAGCTTCTTTACAATCCTAATTTTGGAATTCCTTATTTGTCATTTCAGTATTTTCATTTCGGTTGAGATCCATCGCTAGAGACTCAGTGTGCTACTTTGGCAATGTCCTTTCACTCTGATTTTTTATATTTCTAGAGTTCTTGTGCTGATTCCTTTCCACGTAGAGCAGCTGGTGCTGCCTGGTTTGGGATTTTCTTTTTTTAGATGGGGCTTTATTTTTCTTCCCCCACCCCCTCACTATTAAGAGTGTGTCCATAGCATATGTTGGGTAAAGACTTTGGCTTTGCTTGTGGGTACTTTGAAAGCGGTATTGGTTCTGGATGGACACCTTGGTCATAGATATCCGTAGCGTGGTAATTTTCTTTATGGCTAGTTATTTGTAGGCTATAGTCCTGGTGTACCATGGCCTGGGAAGATTCCCTGTCTCTTGTTGACAAGGGAAGATGGAAGTCTTTGAAATCCTTTCTGGCTGGAGTGAGTGGCCAGTGGTGCTAGGAGGAGCTGGTGCGGCTGCCCAGCCCAGCAGGTGACAGTGGACGCCTCTGGCCTGGCCTGAGAGGTCCGAGACTGGACCCCAGCGAGACCGAGAGGCGGCGCCGAAGTTGGCGCGAACTCAGCGAAAAAGCCCTGGGCCGCGGTTGTTGCAGCCACCGCCACCGCAGGGCGAGGTCGCCGCCCTGGCCCGTTGGATCCCGACCACGGGCAGAAGTCCGCGGTTGGTGAGCGCTCGCCCTACCCCGCCCGACCCGCGCCGCAAAGTTTGCGGAGAGCGACCCTGCGCGTTTGCAGGGAGCCGGGCGGTGGGCGGTGGACGCGGGGTGCGCCCTGCCCGGCGGGGCGGTCCAGGCTGGACTCCCGCGGCGCAGCTCCGCAGCGCTGGAAAGTCACCTGGGGTTTGGGGACTCTGAGTGCGTCAAAGTGCACCTGAGCTTCGGAATCCCGCGCCGCCTCCCGAGCTCACGCGCCAGGCTGGGTGGAAACGTCAAGGGGGAGCCCCGCGCTGCCGCGCTCCCGGGGCGCGAGCAGTCAGTCTCCCAGAGGACGAGGTGGCCGCGGTTCCGCCAGTGGGTGCTGCTCATTGTCGCCGCGCTTTTTGGCTTCCCTTTCCGTAGGTTCTTCTCTGAGCTCCTAAGTGAGGAGTCCAGGGTGGAGACTCAGCCTCCCCGCCGTCCTCTGGGGACTGGACTCCTGGCGACAGTTGTCAACTGAACGGGAAGCCAGAGTCGTGACGTGGAAGTGATGGAAGGGACAGGAAGTGTGTGGCAGGGCAGTGGTGGTGTCTGGCCCTTGGGGCTGTTTGCACAATATTTTGTTCATTTTATGTTTTTTAAATTGAGTTTTGAGAAACTTTACATATTCTGAATGTAACACTTTAATGTATACATGACTTGCAAATATAGTCTGTGATTTATCTTTTTGTTCTCTTAACAACGTCTTGTAAGAGCAAAAGTTTTTAATTTTAATGAAGTCTACATTATCAATTTGGGTGTTTTTTTGTTTTTTTTTTTTTTAATCACGTTTCTGAAGTCCTTTTTAAAAATGTTTACCTAACCCAAGGTAACAAAGTTTTTCATCTAGAAATTTATATTTTGAGTCTTATGATTAAGTCTTATGATTTATTTTGAATTAGGTTGCCGTGAGTGTGTATGTTTGTGTGTGTGTGTGTGGTGTGAGGTGTGCATTAAAGGTTTTGTGGGGTTTATTTTGGCATGTTGATACCCAGCTCCATATGTTGAAACTGTTTTCTTTCTTCACTGAATCCCTTTATACTTTTATAAAAAAGGCTTGCTCGTTTATGTATGGATATAGTATATCACGCTACTAAAAAGTAGTGTTGTTAGTCCTCCATCTGTTTTTTTTTTTTCAAAGAGGTGGAATTTTTTTGTGTGTGTGTGGCTATTGTAGGCATTTGCATTTCCATAATTAATTCTGGAATCAGTTTGTGAATTTATTCTACAAAATTTATTCTGGGAGTTTGATTTGGATTATGTTAAATCTATTGATAATCTGGAGATATTAGACTCCAGATTAGATATTAGATATTAAGATATTAGATTAGATATTAGATATTAATTCTCTTGTGTATATATATTTGGTTAAATACACATAATATAAACTTTACCATTTTACCATTTCTAAATGTATAGTTTACTGGCATTGAGTACATTTAAATTATTGTATAACCATTACCATAAGCCATTACCAAAACTCTTTTCACCTTGCAAAACTGAAACTTTGTTCCCATTATATAATTATGCCCCCTTGCTTCCTTCCCCCACCCCTGGTAACCACCATTCTGCTTTTTGTCTCTATGAATTTGATTCCTCAAGATAACTTATATAAGTGGACTCTTACAGCATCTGACTTTTTGTGACTGATTTACTTCACTTAGCATAATGTCCTCAAGTTTCCTCCATGTTGTAACATGTTTCAAAATTTCCTTCTTTTTTAAGGCTGAGTCATTTTCCATTATATGTATGTGCAGGTTGAGTAAAAGCATTTAATATCCAAGCATTTTGGATATTAACACTCTTGTCTTCCAACTGATGAGCACAACATAACTCTTGATTCATTGATGTATTTTTAAATTTCTCTTAAAAATATCTTGTATATTGCAGTACCCAGGTCTTTATCATCTTCTATTAGATTTATTATTAAGTTTTATGCTTTCGATGCTACTTTTTAAATTTTAATTTTGATCATTGCTATTATATAGAAATACAATTATTGACTTTTTCATATTGATTTTATTTCTTGCAGCCTTGTGAAAGTCTCTTTTTAATTATAGTACTTTTTATTGCAAATAATAAGGATTTTCTAGAAAAGCAATCATATCTTCTTTCTTCCCACTTGGAAGGCCTCTTAATGTTGACTTATTATAGTGGCTAGAACCTCCAGTAAAATGTTAAATAGACACGATGAGAATGGGCATCCTTTTGTTTCTGATATGGGGAGAAGAGCAATAGACCTTCTTCATTAAGTATGATGTTAGCTGTAGACCTTGCATAGATGAGCTGAGGAAGTTAACTTGTGTAACTTTGCTGACAGTGTTATCAGAGATGGATGCTCGATTGCATCAAATATGCTTTATTTCTTCAGTTGAGTGTACACTCACAGATTTAGTATGATAATATGGCAAATTACATAGCTTTAAAAAATAACCTTGAATATCGGAGATAAACTCCATTGGCTGCGGTGTTTTGTCATTTCTATATATTGTTTGATTTGATTTGCTTTAATTTTGTTCAGGATTTTTATATCTATATTCATGAGGAATGCCAATCTATAGTTTTCTTTTCTTTTAATATTTGTGCCTGGTTTTGTTTTCAAGGCAATGCTGACCCCACGGAATGTGTTGAGAAGTAGTTCATGGTTTTCAGTCTTCTGGAAGAGTTGTGTAGAATTGACATAATTTCTTCCTTCAGTGATTGGCAAAATTTACAAGTGAAGCTGTTGAGGCCTGGCTTCTTCCTTGCAGGGAGGGAAGTGACTTCATTAAATCAATTATTTTAAAAGATTCAAGCTATCTACTTTTACTTAAGCGAGCTTTGATAGTTTTTATCTATCGAAGAATTTATCTAATGAAGTCATAACATGTATTAACATAAATTTATCATATTTCTTTGTAATCCTTTTAAAGTCTATAGAATCTGTCGTGATACTAATTTTTTATTCTTAGCACTGGTAGTATGTCTTCTCTCTTCTTCAAATCCGAGAGGAGTTTATCAATTTTACTTATCTTCTCAAAGAATAAGCTTCTGAAATACTTGATTTTATCAATTTATTTACTTTTTGCTTATTAGTTGAATCATTTTTGTGCTTATCTTAATTATTTGCTTTCTTCTAGTTACATTGGGTTTAATTATCTTTTGCTAATTCCTTTAACACATTGATTGCCAGACTAGAAGAAAGAAAAATTTTCCTTGGGGCCATAGTGCTTTATGAGAACAAAATGATACTTTCTAATTTGTTATTTTTTATTGTTTTCTCTGTGTGAGTTATATGCCACACAATCCATGTTTTTAGAATTAAATTCTCAATATTAACTGTAACAATAAAGAATATCAACAAGTAAGATTTTCAGGAACCAACTGCAGGATTTTGCTTCATGAGGTCCTGGGCTCAAAACTAGCACGAGTTAAATACAACTCAGCAGTTAATGTGCTAATATGTAGGGTGATTTTATTGATTTGAGAGCTTTCTTCTTTTGGATTAGGTCATAAAATGTGAAATGTCCATCTTAGAATAAAAAGTTTAGTCTATTATATCTCAAACCAGAAGCAATGCAATTAATCAAGGTATGCACCCAAACTGTTGACACAGTTTTGCCATCTTAACAGTTGCTTGTCTATGCCAGCAGTAAAAGAAGCCTGGAGAGCAAGTGGCAATGAAATTGCAAAAGGTGTTGTCCACCATTGGTTGAAAATGAAATATTTTTCCTTGCAAGAAATGGTCCAAAGCCTGGAAGAAGTGGTAGTCAGTTATTGCAAAGTCTGGTGAATACGGTAGGTGACAGAGTTCCCAAGTCCAGCCTCTGGAGTTTCAGCAGCGTTGTTTGTGCAACAGACATGTGGTCAAGTATTGTCTTGCAAGAGGATTGGCCTGTCTTTGTTGACCAATCTTGGCTGCTTAATCACAAGCCTCCTCATTATTTCACCCAGTTGGTTGCAGTAGACATCCACTGTAATGGATTGACGAGGTTCCATGAAGCTGTAGTGCATAATACTAGCACTGGAGCACCTAAAAGACACCATTAGCTTTTTTGGATGAATATTCTATTTTGGACTATGTTTCGACACATGAGGAAAAATGTTAACAGATGCAATAAAATGAAATACACCAATTTGTACAATGTATTAGTATAAGGCTTAGATCTAGTAAAAGTCCTCTTCACATTACTCTGGTCACAATAGTATGCTTTTCTTTAGCATTTTCTTCAAGGCAACATTGACATCTTTATTCCTAAGGCTGTAAATCAGCGGGTTCAACATAGGCACAAAAATAGTATAAAACACAGAGGAGACTTTCCCTTGGTCCATGGAGCTGACTGATGATGGCTGAAGGTACATGAACGCTGCAGATCCAAAGAAGACAGCAACAGCCAAGATGTGGGAGCTGCACGTGCGGAAGGCTTTGCACCTGCCCTCAATGGAGCGAATGTGGAGGATGCTGGCAGTGATGAAGATGTAGGAGGCAAGTATGGTCAGGCTGGGAAAGAGGATATTAATTCCACTAAATATTAGAATCAGTAATTCATTTACATAAGTACTAGAACAAGAGAGCTTTAAGATGGAAATAAGATCACAAAAATAATGATTGATCACATCAAATTTGCAGAATTGAACCCTAAACATGCAGCCTGTATGAGCTGATGCACAAACCAGGCCTACAATATACACCCCTAAAATCAGGGAAAAGCAGGTCTGATAGGACATGATGACATTGTAAAGCAAGGGGCTACAGATGGCAACATAGCGATCATAGGCCATTGCAGCCAACATATAACACTCTGCAATAGCAAAAACGAGGAAGAAATAGAGCTGAGTCATGCATTCAGGATAGGAGATGATGTTCTTGTCTGTCACAAAGTTCACCAGCATTTTGGGAGTAATGACAGTGGAATGGCAGAGGTCAATGAAGGACAAACTGCTGAGAAAATAGTACATAGGGGTGTGCAGGTGAGCACTGAGCCCAATCAATGAGATCATGCCCAGGTTCCCCACCACTGTGATCACATAGATTCCCAGGAAGAGGAGGAAGAGGGACAGCTGGAGATCTGGCTGCTCTGAGAGCCCAGCCAAGATGAACTCAGTCAGTGAGGAATGGTTTCCTGCTGCCATTTCTCTTGGCCAATTTCTGCAGGGAGAGAGAAAAAACATGGTCATTCGAGGAATTTCATTGCTTTTCTCCATTTAGAGAAGGGTACTCATACTGAGGATTAATGGTTTATGTATCCTCCTGGGTCTCTATTCGAATATTTTCCTGGATAAATTTATGTCTCAATTTAATAATTATTAGCCTTTATTTTCAAATATAATACATGTATCCCATATAAAACATTTTTGCCATTTTTATCATCATTGAACACTTTCTGTGTCCCTTTATGTTGAACACTTTAATAATTTCAAGGCAGTATTTCTAAGCTGAGACTCACTAACATAAATATTTATAGAGCCAATGTAAATGAGTGAAACTGGCTGATGATGACTTGGAGAGAGCAAGACCTGCCTAAGGGCAGTAACCTTTACTCACCTGAAACTAATTTCTGGCAAGGGTGAACACAGATCTTATTGCTGTCAGACTTCTATTTTTTATGTAATTATCAGGAAATCTAGATTTGTACATAATATCTTCAGATTTTATTAAATGTTATTTACAAATGTTATTACTATGAAACAACATCTATAACAATTCTGGTGTAAATCTATGAGCTGTGGGTTGGCCCACAATTGCCTGGGCTACAAGGAACATCCTTTGCCCTCCCCTGAGTGAAGCAGAATGAGTAGTTTTTACAGGGACAGGCCATAAAGTCAAAGTGCCTGTGTTCACGTTCTGACCCCATCATTTACTATCATACCTTAAACAAGTCTTGTGTCTTGACTCCAAATCTGTAAAAGAGAAATACAAATGTTCTGTGATTAATAATAAAATTAACTGAGACTTATAAATCAGAAAGTGAGCAAGGTCATTATTGTTTTGTTATTCCCTATTATCATTCTATCAATTGGAACAGAAGCTGTGATTACACACTTAAATTACGGAAGTAAATCTTAATACCCCAATCTTCCTGTCTCCTCCTTTAACTTTTGTGAGTTAGAAGGAAGTGCAAAGAAGAGGCATACATTTAGGAAATGTGGAATTATCAATGCAGTCCTGTATTCTGTTAAATTGTGATCAATTTACACATTGCATGCCCCAAAGTAAAATCCCAAATGGTTTAAATGTGAATTTTAAAGTATATGAAATATAGAAAATCTAAAAATGTATATGTTCTACAACAAAATAAACCTGAAATAAATCATAGATTTAAACAGAAATGCTAACCTATAAAATATCTGGAAGAAAACACTAAAGAAAATCTTTGACATTTTGGAGCAGTTTAAGATTTTTTAAAAAAGATACACACACACACACGCACACAAATAAAACCAAAAGAAACAAAAATCCTAAGCATAAAAATAGGTCATTTGTACCTCATCAAAATTAAAAAGTGTTTCTCAAAAGATGCCATTAAGAAAATGAGAAGGAAGCACAAGACAATACATATATTGACAGAGGGCATTTATTTAAAATATGTAAATAATTTTGTTAATGAGTAATATGAAGATAGGCAAATGTTAAAATGAACAGAATACCTGAAGAGATTCCTTACAAAAAAGACATGTAAATAGTTTATATGCATATGAAAATATCTTTAATGTCATTAGTCACCTAGGAAATGAAAATTAAAACCATAATGATATACTTCTACACACCTGTTCTGGAATGGGTTAGAAGAAGAAAAAAAACCCAAAAACCTCTGGCAATTCCAATTGTTGGTGACATGTAATTGGACTTGTACAAAACTTGTGGGAGGTATACAATTGTTCAACAGCTTTGTTAAACAGCTTATTAATATATTATATATTTAAACAGGTACTTGCCATGTAATCTAACTGTGCTGCTCAGTGTTTACCAAGGAAAAATGTAAACATTTGTCTACACTAAAACTTATACAAAAATATTTATGGCGGCTTTATTCATAATAGCCAAAAGCTGGAAAGAACCAAAATGTTCATTGGTGGATGAATAGATGAATGACACATACATACATACAATATGACACATACATACATACAATGAAAGCCTATTCAATGTTTAAGAAAGAATAAATCACATATGCATGCAATAACACAAATCTCAAAAACATTTTTTGAACAGATTGCACCCAAATACCTTAAATATTTGGAAGTATTCAGCAGTGTAGTAATCTAGGCTTGGGGTTTTCTATGTGAGAATTTTAAGTAAGGGATTGAATTTATTTAATAGATATCACTGTTCATATTTTATCTTTCCTTACCTTTCCAAAGTTGAAATTTTAATACATTCACTCACTTTGCAAATTATGAAATTAATTGCATTTGGGGTTTGTTTTTGTAATGATTTCTTTAACATTTAAACAAAATTGTAGACTATGCAGTGATTTTTTTTTTAATTCTAAAATCAGTGAATTGTGGTTCTTTATTTGATCAATCATTTTGGAATTTTTCCAATTGTATTAACCAACTTGAGTAAATTAACTTTTGGCTATGTTGATTTCATAAATGACACATTTATTTGCCACTGAAGTTATTACCAACAAATTATTTTACTCTTTATACTTTTTTTAGCGTATTATGGGGGTACAAGTGTTAAGGTTACTTATATTGCCCATGCCCCTCTTCCCCCTCAAGTAAGAGCTTCAAGCATGTCCATCCCCCAAACATTGCACATCTTACTTGTTGTGGTTGTATATATACTTTTCTTTTGTGTGATTTTCTTGGTTTTTTTCCCTGAGGTCTTGAAGTAAAAGATTGAATCAGTAATTCAACTTGCATTCTTTTTAAATATGTACATCTCAGTTATAAATTTCCTTCTAAGCCCCAGTTTAGCTGCATTGCAGAAGTTTCGCTATATCAAACTTACAATCTTATTTAGCCCTAAAGGACTGCAACAACCAGGAAAATATACCCAGACACTGATCCACTTCCAGAGACACTAATGAGAATATTGCCTTAATGCTCTGAGGGTAAATGACACAAATTCATACTACCTCTTGTCCCTCATCACTGTCAGTCCTGTAATCCTCCCTCCTTTGCTACAGGAACATTTGGCTTCTTTTAGTTCCTGGAATGTGTCATATTCGCTCACCTGCCTGTCTTTTTATTCACTGTTTCTTCTACAAGAGATAGTCTTACCAACACCTTTATTTCTGCTGTGTGGTAAATATTTACTTCTTTTCAAATCTCACTTAAAATTGAAGTCATCCTGGAAACATTCTCCAATTTATTATAATCAATTGAATGTTTCCACTACCCACCAAAGAAACTCTAATTTCTAAACAGCACATTTTTAGGCTGAGCTACAACATAAGCCAGTTGATGGACTAGACCTATTCTCTTCTGAATCCCCAGTAACTAGCAAAGTGTCTGGAGCATTGTAGGAGGTTTAAAAAAGTATTTTATGAATAATTGAATAAATCAAGATATTGAGGAATATTTCCCTGATTTTTTACAAAGATTACTTCCAGATACAATCTCCAATCACAAGTGTTGGATGAACACACTCACCATTCCATAAAAGCTTCAATACCCAATTTTGTTTGCAACTTGCTGTCTTTGACTTGGAGGAGAATGGTACTAATGCTAGTATTGGAGGTCACAGGTCCCCAGCATTCTGCACTCTGTAGTGTTGAGAGGGCAAGGCCTAGCCCTTATCTCAGAGTCACTTTTGAAGCTGGTTTGCATAACAGATCAGGATTCCCAATTGTAAGCTTTCAGTTTGTGTTTCTCCAGCTTCAGGGTAGCAAACAGGCTCATTTTTCACAGTCACTTGAGCAGTTCAGATTGCTGTGCTATATAAAGGTTTTCCCTGGGTTTAGATATGCCAGGTACCAAATACCGTGGAGACAAATAGTCTCCAAGGGTTTTCATTTCTCAGGGATAACACTTTTGAAAAAAGAAGCAATTAGACTTGACATTTCCCAGTTGTCTAGTTTTCCTGCAGATGAATTTCCTATTAATTCTAAACTTGTTAGTTGGTAAAGATTTGTGCACAAGGATCACAAATTTTTTTTTTTCTGTTGAGGCCTCCGACCCCAAGACCCATGCCCTTACCCTGCCATCTCTGCACAGGATGTACCTGTGCTTGGGTCTGTTTTTTTTGTTTTGGGGTGAGTTGTTAGTAACTTTATTTTCTACTAATAAAAATCTATCCTAAGAATATGTCTTCTTCTATGTCTCCACTTCTTTAAAAAGAAATAGTAACAAAGACAAAAGCTTATCTTGATACAGGTTTGCAGGCAGTCAAATTTAGCTTTCAAGGATTTGAGATCCACCAGGAGCAGCTCTGCACGTGGCCTGAGAAGCCCTGGCCGGCGGGCAGCACTGAAGACCGCCCTCACCTAGCTGGCCGGAGTGATGGCGGAAGAGTAGACATGGACTTTGGGATCGCTGGTCTCTCCTTTCAGGAGCTCCAAGGCTTGCTGGTGACGTGGGGAGTCTGGAAGTGCAGCAGGTCTTCCAGCATCTTGGGGCAACCAAAGTCACTCTGGGGGCTCCCAGAGGCACTGCCAAGCCCTTTACCTTTGTTCTCCGCCAGGCTTTGGGACCTCTGATGTCACCAGGGTAGCCGACTGGGCCACAAGGAGACCCAATACAGCAGCAAATGCTGGGGCTGGTGCAGTGCTTTCCCAGGAAATCAGATGTGGGCGCTGGGGGCCAAGTAGGCACCCTCCAGTTCATGATCTTTCTGCTGTCATTGGAGCCACCTGGGCAGCTTCACTCTTTCATTTGCCCACCTGGACCTGAAGGCAGTTGGGTCAGCCAACGCCATAGCCCAGGACCAAAGTGCAGATGGGCTAGGACTGCCAGTCACAGTGCTGGTGCCCAGGATCTCCCTGCATGCAGGGAGTTAGGGGCCAAGGTGGGGAGAGGGGCAGCTTCCCAATCCCACCTCCAGCCCCCTCCATGCAGGCCCCACCTAGGCCCCTGGCCCCACCAGTGTGCAGAGGAGACCCTGGGTCACTGCCCTACAGAAGCCTGAAGAAGCCTCTCCCTGGATTTCCCATGATTTGGCGGCTAATGCAGCTGCTTCAGAGGGACACTTGGGAGGGCTGGGGGCAGGTTGGGGGTGCTCTGAATGGGCACCTACAGGCCCCACTGACACAGGAGGTGCT